AAAAAGAGTCAGTCTATATTATCTTACTTACTTTGGTGACAAAGAAGATCGAAACATATACTAGAAGAAGACAACAAAGCCAAAGCTCTTATATCCAAAGCCTCCAAGAAAAATATGAATTGGTCCCAGGCCATGGAAGAGCTGCAAAATGATTTTGAGAAGCAAGTAAGAGAAGTAGAGAAAAAACTGAAAGTGATGCTAAAGGAGAACCCCACCAAAAAATACTGAAGAAAATAATACCTTAAAAAATAGCCCAACCCAAATGGCAAAATAGGTCCAAAAAGCCAATGATGAGAAGAATGCCCTAAAAAGCAAAACTGGCCAAATGGAAAAGGAAGTCCAAAAGCTTACTGAAGAAAATATTTCCTTAAAAATTAGAATGGAGCAATTGGAAGCTAACAACTATATAAGAAATCAAGGCACTGTAAAACTAATTCAAAAGAATGAAAAAATAGAAAACAATGTGAAATATCTCATTGGAAAAACAACCGACCTGGAAAATAGATCCAGGAGAGAGAATTTAAAAATTATTGGATCATCTGAAAGCCATGCTAAAAAAAAAAAAAGAGCCTACACATCATCTTTCAAGAAATTATCAAGGCAAACTGCCTTGATATTTTAGAACCAGGAAGCAAAATAGAAATTGAAAGAATCCACAGATCTCCTCCTGAAAGAGATCCCCAAAAGGAAAACTCCTAGGAATATTGTAGCCAAATTCTGGAATTCCCAGGTCAAGGAGAAAATACTGCAGGCAGCCAGAAAGAAACAATTCAAGTATTGTGGAAACAAAATCAGGATAACATAAGATTTAGCAGATTCTACATTAAGAGACTGGAGGGCATGGAGTATGATATTACAAAAGGCAAAGGAGATAGGATAATAACAAAGAATCACCTACCCAGCAAAACTGAGTATAATCCTTCAGGGTAAAAAATGGTCATTCAATGAAATAGGGGACTTTCAAGCATTCTTGGGAAAAGACCAGAGCTGAATATAAAATTTGACTTTCAAATACAAGACTCAAGTGAAACATGAAGAGGTAAACAGGAAAGAGAAGTCATAAGAGACTTATTAAAGTTGAACTGTTTACGTTCTTGCATGGAAAGATGATATTTGTAACTCATGAGTCCTTTGTCAGTATTAGGGTAGTGAGAGGGAAAAAATTATATGTGTGTATAGACAGATAGATAGAGGGCACAGAGTGATTTGAAGATGAAGGGGTAATATCTGGAAAATAAAATTAAGGGGTGAGAGGGATTATACTGGGAAAAAAGGAGAAAGGGAGAAGTAGGGTGAGGTAAATTATCTCACATGAAACAGACAAGAAAAGGCTTTTACAGTGAAGGGGAAATGGGGGAAGGTGAGAGGGATGAGTGAATCTTATTCTCATAGGATTTGGCTTAAGGAGGGAATAATATACACAATAGGGTATGGAAATCTATTTTACCCTACAGGAAAATAAGGGGGGAAGGGGACAAGAGAGCAGGGGGTTGATAGAGGGGAGGGCAGATTGGGGGAAGGGATAATCAGAAGCAAACACTTCTGGGGAGGGACAGGGTCAAAAGAGAGAATAGAATAAATAGGGGGTAGGATAGGATGAAGGGAAATATACTTAGTTTTCCACAACATGATTACTATGGAAGTGTTTTACATGACTACACATCTATAACTTGTATTGAGATGCTTGACTTTTCAATGAGGGTGAATGGGGAGGGAGGAAGGGAGAAAATTTGTAACCCAAAGTTTTAAAAACACATGTTAAAAAAAAAAAAAAAAATAAAAATATGTGAGATGCCCAAATTTAGAGACTCTACCCCAAATTTTCACATGGACTATTTGTGCCCCACCTGTGATAGAATATTCTGAGCTCATATTGGACTGATCAGCCATAGTCTGACACACACATAGTGATATAATTTTGGTCATCTTTGAGAGTGAAGGACAACAACCAATAGTAATGGTGATCAGTCAATCAATCAATAAACATTTATTAAGTTCCTATTATGTGTCAGGCACTGGGCTAAGAACTGGGGATGCAAAAAGAGGCAAAAGACAGTCCCTGCCTTCCATGAGCTCATAACCTAATGAGAGAGGGACAACAAATGAACAATTACGTACAAACTATATACAGGATAAATGGGAAGTAATGAATAGAGGCAAAGGCATTAGAATTAAGACAGACTGGGAAAGGCTTCCAGTAAAAGACAAGATTTTTGCTGGTACTAAAAGAAAGCCAGGGAGGTCTGTAGCCTGAGGGGAGAAGGGAGAGCATCCCAGGCATGGGGGACAGCCAGAGAGAATGCCCAGGGCTGAGAGATGGAGGGTCTTGTTCATGGAACAGCCAGGAAATGAACATCAACTGGATCAAAGAGTTCTTGGGGAGGAGTAAGATATAAGAAGACTGGAAGAGGAGAAGAGGACCAGGTTCTGAAGGGCTTTGAATGACAAGCAAAGGATTTTGTATTTGATAACAAAAGTGACAGAGTTAGAGTTTATTGAATAGAGGGGTGAAATAGTCAGACCTGTGAAAAATCACTTTAGTGGCTGAATAGAGAATGGACTAGAGTGGGGAGACACTGGGGTTGTACTTGAGGGGTGTAATAAAACTGGAAACAACAGGCCTTGGCACCATATTAGATATGGGGGATGAGCGATAATGGGGACTCCAAGAGGACACCTAGATTGAGAGCCTGAGGAAAGCGAATGGTGGTCCCCTTGACAGTAATATGAGGGAGGCTAAGGGAAATGAGAATGAGTTCAGTTTTGAGCATGTTGAGATGTCTACTGGACATCCAGTTTGAGATATCTGAAAGGCAGCTGGAGATTGGAGGTCAACAGAGAAGCAGGAAAGGTAGATTTTAGAATTATCAGTATTAAATCCATGGGAGCTGATGAAATCATCAGGGAACCAGTATTTCAGTAGATGAGAAGAGGGCTCAGGACAGAACCCTGTGGGACACCTAGGGTTAGTGATCTGGCTGAGGACCCAGCAAAGGAGACAGAGAAGGATCGCCAGAGAGATGGTGGGAGAACCAGAAGGGAGAGAGGTGTCTGGAAGACCTGGAGAGAAAAGAGCATAGAGGAGAAGAGGATGTCTTCCAGTGCCCAAGGCTTCAGAGAGGTCAAGGAGAATGAGGATTGAGAAAAGGCCATTGGATTTGGCCACTAAGAGATCCTTAGTGACTTTGGAGAGAGCACTTTCAGCGGAATGAGAAGATCGGAAAGAGTGAAGAAGAGAGTTGGAAGAAAGCAAGTGGAGGGCCTTTGCTAGGAATTTAGCCAGGAAGGGCAGAAGAATCATAAGACGAGGAGCCGAACATTCCTCGCACTTGCGTCTAGTGCCTTCCTTCCATCGCCTGCTGGGGGCAGCTTGTTCTTGAGGGAACGGGGCAAGGGGCTTCTTCGGCTGCTCGACAGCAACTCCCTGCCATACTCTCCTAGCCAGCTTTCTCAGGTGAGAAGAGCGCCCCTCTAGCCTGCTATCTTCTATCTGTCCCAAACAACATCTTCCACCCTTGCCAACACAAGGTAACTTCTCCTCTCACCTGGGCCGCCTCTCAGACCCTTAATTTCTTCCTCCTTATAAATGAACTGCGTGGTCTCGGCCAGTCACCTACTCTCTCTGAACCTGTTTCCTCATCCATTAAATGAAGATAACCCTCGTTCAGCCTTCCTTCCTCAGTCAATCAGCCACCAAGCATCTATTAAGCTATCAGTGAGAATAAAAAGACAAAAGAGAAACGATCCCTCCCCTCAGGCAGCTCACATTTTCCTGGGGTGAGAGCACGGAAGGGGGTTGGAGCCATCATTCTCAGCCACCAAGAAGGTCCCTGGCTGATGTGGGCTCCTTATCATGGTGCCTGGAGAGGCGCGTGGTACAGGAGATGTGAGCCAGCCGAAGTCTTTGGAAGCCTGGGGAATCAAGACCTCCCCCTGACGCCGACCCTGTGTGGGGACCTGAGTAATGAAGTCACTGAGCGGGCTGTGGCCCCGGTGGCTTGGGAACCAAGATTGGGAGATATGCTGCTGATGCGCATCGCTGGAGGGAGGCAAGGAATCCTCAGTTTCCCATTCCGAAGAAACCAAAGCTCAAGGCAGCAATAAAACCAGCACTTCCACTGCACTTTAAAGTGGGCAAGTCCCCTTATAGACCTGCTCGCCCATGACTACCCTAACCCCTAGGTGAGGGAGGCACCACAGCTATTATATAGGAGCTCGGGTTTGCGCCAGGGGCCGGCTGAGGATCTGAGGAAGGAATCGCGGATGTTTCTCTCAGAGAAGAGAAGGCTGGGGACTGTGGCTCGCGATAGATGAGTTTGCTTCCAAGCTGGGTTTGTTTGTTCTGTGGAATTAGGGAGATCAGGCTTGCCAGGTTGGGCTCTAGAAAGAAGCAGCTTGGCCATGAATGGGGGAAATTGCCAAGAGGTCGGAATTGGTTGATGTTGTCCCCAAGGGGTTGCCTCAGAAAGAAGGGGCGGGGGGAGTTCCCTTTCATTATCGGGTTCTTTTTTCTGTATCGGTTAAAGTAGACTGCGGCTGAGGCTTCTTCCGACTTTCCATTCCTTCTACTCTGCGAAAACGCAGGCTCAGAGAGGTCAGGCGATTGGTCCCAAGACACACAGCCAGTGTCAGACAAGGGAACCCTCTTGATTCCCAGTTAGTCACTCCAAGCCCTGTTTGACGCGTATTTTCATGTTATCCTTCACAGGGATCCTGGAGACCGAGGGGAACCTTCTCACCCAGCCCCGCCTCGCCCCGGCTCCCCGTGGCAGGATTTCTAACTCCAGACCGGTGATGGAGATCGGAACCGTTCACCTTGGAGTCCCATCTTCCCCCTGGCTCCACTCCCTCTGCTTCATCCTAGAGCACCATTGGCTCACTTCCCCTGACTCCCCAGAGGCGCCGCGGCCCTCGGAGTGGGAGAGGGGCGGGAGGCAATGCCTGGCCAGCCTCCAATCTCCGAGTAGGAAGGCGCAGGCGTCGCTTGGCTTCCATTGGCCAGTGTCAGCCTTTCACCTGGGGCACACCCTGCCCAGGACTGCCTAGCCCCTCTGGCCCTGCCCTCGGGCCCCTCAGAGCAAAGTCCGCTGATAGTGCTCTCTGAACTGTAGTCGCTGCGGGTCTGATAGGACGCGGCTGCCTGTGCCAGCTTCCTGCCCCCAACGGACGGACAGACGCCCGGACGCCTGGAAGCCCGTGGGGCCCCCTCCCCTCCCAGCCGCGCCCTCTGACCAGCCAGGATGCCGCTGGGACTTCGGAGCAAGAAGAAAGCAGGGTTCAAGGACACTTCCAAGTTGATGGAGGGCGAACGGGCTGCTCAGAGCGCTGGGAGCGCCCAGTCCCTGCCCTCGGAGCTCCAGCCCAAGCCCAAGCCGGTGTTCCACACGCAGCTGGCACACGGTAGCGCCACGGGCACAGTGGAGGGCTTCTCTAGCATCCACGAGCTCTACGCCAAAATCGCCCAGGTGTTCGAGATCTCGCCCTCCGAGGTAAGGAAGGACACGGGGTCAGTGCCCGGGCGCGCTTCACTCGCCTCGGCTGGCTGTTGCTTCGATGCCACGCAGACGGCCGCAGACCCCCTCCCCCGGCTCTAGAGGCAGGATCCCTATGCTTCGAGGGCAGAGAGAGACCCACCTCAGACGTCATCCTGTAGGGCCCCCTCATTTCTCAGATGAGGAAACTGAGACCTGGAGACTTGAGACTTGCTCTCGCCTCCCAGGAAGTAAAGGGCAGACCCTGGGACTCAAATCCGGGTCTCTTTCTCGGCTTCAAATCCCTTTTGAAGATTCCGACCAGTTTGTCCTCGGGCAAATCATGTAGTCTTCTAGAGTCTCAATTTCCTTATCTGCCCAATGAAAAGGTCCGACTGGGAGGCCTCGGATGTTATCTTCAGCTTTAGAGCTACCATCCTCGGTGGAGGGGCAGGCGGAAAGAGGCCGTCGTGGCCATAGTCAAAGAGGGCAGGCGCCTGAGAGTCAGCAGAGACCAGAGTCCACAATCCATCCATCTCTCAACATTTATTAGCTTCCTGAATCCAGGAGCCAAGTCGCTCAGCTTTCCTGGGCCTGACAGGTCTCTTCCCTTATCTGTGAAGCAGCTAATCACGCGCCGGTATCACTTAGGCCACAGGATTCTTATGCAGACTGAATGAATCCTGCTGCGGCTCTCGAAATTTTTGGTCTCAGGACCCTCTCACTCTCATATAAATGATTGAAGCCCAGTTTCCCCTCCCCCGCTTCGGTTTATGGGTGTTCTATCTGTATTCACTATTTTAGACATTTAAACATCTTAGTAGTCTATGAAAATAGTTTTGATCTCAGCGGGTCCCTGGACCACACTTTTAAAGTGGTAATGTATTAAAAGTGCTCTCTTAAGAGGCAGTGTGGGGGCAGTGGCTAGAGGTCTCAGAGTCAGGAATCCCAGGGGTCAAGCGGACTGAGACACACTAGATGAGTGAATAAATAACCTCTCAGCACCTCACACTCCAGGTCTAAAAGGGAGTTTCTTCTCTGCATGCTGCAGGGGTTTCCACTCTGAAAATTCTGTTCCCTGAGAGTTTAAAAATCAATGCAAGGCACAGTGCATTAGTTTTTAGGGCCGATAGAGAAAAGAGTAGGAATTTGTCTGGAGCAGGTTGGAAAACGGGAAACCCATCTCCCGGGTCCCAGACGCAAGAGGCGAAGATAAAAGCTGGAGTGTCTTGGAGGCTCTGGAAATGGTCCTTGTTCCCCGACGCCAATCCGAAGGTCCGAGTACTTGGCCGGAGAGTGAGGGGTCTGCCCCTTGGCTGTGAGCACCTGCTCGGGGGAGGGCAGTCAGGACCTCCTGGCCTAGGCTTCCCCCTTCCGCTCAGATTCTTCCCGGAGGAACCAGAAGCCCTGCTTCGGCAGCACTTGGGGAGCCAGGTGAAGCGCCATCTCCGAGCAGAGCCAAACGAAGAGCAGCTTCCCTTTCCTCTAACCCTTGCTGTTTGCCGCATTACTCCCCCCCAACCTTGCCCCCACCCCACAAAAAAAAATTGGGTCACCACGACTGTGGGACCAGTCTAAACACTTTAATTCACAGAGGGAAAGGACAGTGATGATAACGTCTAACCCACAGGCATTGAGTACTGAGGAAAAGCTTGCCGTCCTGGGCTGAAACGCTAATTCTAAGGCTAACCTCACTACCCGAATGACCTTGACTAAATTCCTTCCCTTCCCTGAGCCTCGGGCTCCTCACCTGTCACTTGAAGGCCTGTGATCTTCCTTCCAGCTCTAGAGTAGAGATCTCTGTCGGGCTTTGAGCCGTGCAGAAGGCTTTTTGGTATGGCATTCGTGAGGCTCCAATGGATTTGTGATCTCATCTATATCGACCAACCAATCAACAAGCATGCTGTTGTAAGTGCCTACTGTGTGCCAGGCACTATGTCAAGTGCTAGGGAAACAAAGAAAGGCAAAACCAGAGCCTGCTGTCAAGGAGCAGTGGGCATTGGAAGGGAGCAGACACATGTAAACACATAGCTACATGCCGGAGACAAGAGGGGAAAGAAGGTAGTGTCAGAGGGAAAGGCTCAGCTGGCTGAGAGGAAGGAAGGAGATGGCTGGTCCCTCCTTCTGTGATGACTCTTGACTGTGGCCTCCCATGATGGCCAGTCACTCTCAGAGTCTCTTGTCTGTGGCCTCCCAAAAAGTGGCCCCAGAAAGTCTACCCAATGTGGCATCAGCCTCTGTCACTTTGTTTTGACATCTCTAGATTACCAGTGAAGCACTCAAGCTGCCCACAGCAGGTAGGTAGCACAGGCATTACTTACTTCCATTTTACAGGTGAGGAAATGGGGATTCAAATCAAGTTGAGATATTTATTAAGTGCCTGCTATGTGCCAGGCACAGTGCTAAGCACCAGGAATATGAAGAAAGGCCAAAAAAAAATAGTCCCTGCCCTCAAGGAGCTCACAGTCTAATTAGGGGGAACACCATGGAAACATGACGTGGGGGGATAGTCTTAGTGGGAAGGTGTAAGATTCAGAAGTAGTGGGGTCTCAGAGAGCTTGTGACTTGTCCAAGGTCACACAGTCGGTAGCTATGATTTGGCCTTGGGTTCTTTCAGCTCTTCTTTATGCTATCTATAGCTCCCTTTCTATATATTTGTTTGCATGTTGTCTGGCCCATTCAATTGAAAGCTCCTCGAGGGCAGGGACAGTCATTTGCCTCTTTTTGTATCCCTAGTGGTTAGCAGATGCCGGCTTGATTGAATGAATGAATACTACACAAACTACTATTCAAAGGATAGTCAGCAGCATTAACATAGGGTTGGCATCTGCCCTGGACAAACTATGCCTGGAGAGAAGGAGGTTGACTTTTTCAGCTGATGGTTTAGTTAATTCGGTTTGTAGAATGATCGCTTAGGCACTGAAGCATTCAGCTTTGGCTCGGTACCCAGTAGGCACCCATAGAGGGACTATGAGATCTGCCTGTGCTGCCTATTTGTTTGGGGTGACAGGCAGGGTGGGAGAAGGTGTCAAGCACTTTTTCTTGGTGTGAGCCAGGGGGGAACTTATCTCCTCTTCAGTTCTAAAAACAATCCAAAGCCCAGGTGGCCTTGAACCAGTGGGAAGCCACTGCCAGGGCTTTGAGCTGGCCCCATGGCCATAGCCCTCCATCTCTTGTTCCCTATTGTTTCTGCATTTCTGCTGAGGAAAAAGTGGGGTCAAGGCAAAGAACATGAAAGGGAACTTTCAGTGTAACATTTTGGAGCTCCTCAGGGCTCGTAGAAGTGCCCAGCAGCAGATAGAAGTCCAGAAAACCAGTCATTTTATGATAGTGAGGTAGAGAAATGAGGAAAGTCACGCCAAGAGCAATTTCTGAATGAGATCCTATGAACTAAGACCTGTGTACAAATTCCACCTTTAACACTGACCAGCTGTGTTACCATGGGCAAGCCATTTAATGTCTGTTTGCCTCAGTTTCCTCATCTGTTAAGTGAGGAGATTGGATTGGCTCTGAGGTCCCTTCCAGCTCTCTGACCCTTTCATCTATGACATGGAGACGGGGGAAGAGAATTGTCCTGGAAGACAGGGGTTCAGGTCTCCCCTCTCACCCACTGGCTGGGAGACCAGGAAGTCCTTTAGCCTCCAGAATGTCAGTTACAGAACAGTGGCGGAGGTACGGACTGTCTTTCCTCACTGAAAATCCCACATGCCAAAAGTCTAACAAGCCACACAAAACAAATAACTCAACCTTTAGGTACCCAGCTGATCAGATGGGTCAGTTGGTCTTCCTGAGGTTTTGGGGGACATCCCTCCCAACCTCCTGGGACAGAAGAAGGTCTTGGAATTACAGGACCCAAGTTTGAATCCTAGCCCTGTCACTTTTGACCTGCCTGACCTTGGGCAAACCATTTCATGTCTCTAGACTCCACTTTCTTCAACTTTAAAATGAAAGGATTAGGCCAGATGGCCCCTGAGTCTTCCAAGTATAAGACCTGTGGCCTAGCACTCTTGAAGGAGAGGAGACTTCATAGGGCGTGGCTTGAAGGATAGAGCCCTGACCTGGGCACTGGAAGGCCCTGAGTGGTAGCTTTTGACTGCAAACCTGGGCAAATTCTTTCAACTCTCTGAGCCTCAATTTGCTCATTTGTAGAATGGGGATAATAATCCTACCTATCTTTTTTGATTCCTAAATGTAAGTTGTTATTTATTTTGCTCTTTTACTAGAAGAGGGCTGAATGGATCGAACAGGTTATTTCTGTGAGCAGTGTTGGAGTTCAGGGATACTTTTTTTTATAGGTGTGCACATTTCTCACACCAAGTTCTAGCCAAAGGCATTGATGCCTCTCAATGGTGTCTCAGGTCTAAAAAACAAACAAACAAACAAAGATTAAAAAATCCCCAGGCCTCACAAACTAGAGGAAAGGCATCATTGGATTAGTTTACTGTTCATTCCATCGTGAGTAACTCAGTTGATCATCTAGAAAGAAAAGTAACTTATTAAAAAAGAAGTGTCTGGTAGCACATTCCCTTCCCCTTCCACTCCTCCAGAAAAGACAGTGGCATTCTGGGCTTTCGAGAAGTCATCTGGGTCAACAGAGCCAGAAGTGTTGGGAAGAGAGATGCCTGGCCTTTCTCTGGGCCCTGGCCAATGAGGATATAAATAGCTTTGTCTGAAGAATCCTGCTCCCTTTCTTTACTGAGGGAGCAGACAGGAAAGCAGCAGCTTGTGGAAGTGATCTGATGTCAGAGTTCATGACTGTTCCTCCAGAGCTCTCCTTTTAGAGTTCTATTTAAAACCCTAGAGCAGAAACCATAGTTGTATGTAAAACCATCTATCAACAAGCATTGATTACTTGCTTACCTGGTGCCAGGTACTGTCCAAGGCATTGGGGGTTCAAAAACAAGGGAAACAGGGAGCGCCTCTGAAAAGGTTCAAATAAAGGCCTCCAGGGACTGAGTTCCTGCAGGCATTGGGTGGGGGGCTTCTGGCCTTCGAAGGAGCTCACTGATGCTCCCAGT